TTGATTTTTGGTGAGTATGAACATTTTCATCTTGATTTGGTAGAAGAGTGCCATTGACCATATAATCTCTGGCAGATTTGACTAAAGTTGACTACTTTTTTGGTCACCTCCAGTATTGTTTTAAAAAATAGCTTATGTCTCGAAATTTTGTCTATGAAATCACTTTTTGTGTTCCAACAAAAAATGTTCCTTGCGAAATTTTGCTTTTTGATTTCGAACGGAATAAAATTTAACACTAATCTTGATTATAATCAACATAATTTAAATACTATTATTTCTTGCGATTTGATTGGTTATTATAATTATAATATCTCTTGTTTTTGAGATATTATAATAAATTTCGTTCAAATGATTCCATAATTATGGGAGCCATTGTATTTCATCTTGTGCCTTCTTTCCTACCGATTGAGCTAATGAATTTTTAAATTTTATACCGTATATCTCCGAAAATAAGCTATCCCATTTTTGAGCCCAAAAGCGGGTGCAAAAAGTGTATGTAAACTTAATAAATTTAACTCCAAAACAAGCTACTCCATTTTTCCGGCCTAAATTTTTTTACAAAAAAGGGGTAGCTTATTTTCGGGTTTTTACGGTAGATTTTATTGGAGGAAAAAATGGCACTTATGAGATTAAGTTAAAAATTATCGCGCATGTATTTTGAAAAGGATTTGACATCACCTGCAAAAATTTAATCAATCAATAACCTCTTTTAGTAACATTAATTTTAGCCCAAAATATTGGACTAAATTAAGGTTTAAATTTTGGGGAGATTGTTTAAGCCAGCAGTGTTATACAGACGCAGGGACAATCTGAATACAAATCTTTTGGTTAACTTGAGGAATAATTATTTATAAACAAAGAAGTTTTAGGGACCTCTCGGGTCACTTGTTACGGTATCTTGTCGATTGTATCAAGTGACAGCCAAGAGAATAAAATAATTTACAACCCAATCTCATTTTTCTTAATGAACTGCTGTGATTTCTTTCATCATATTACATAAATACATCTTCATTGTTTATTATCATATCTAAATTAGGATAAATATTTGTTTTGTATGTAATAATGAGCTCGTTTTTTCAGACGCTTGTTTGTGATGTTCGAAATCAGTAAATAGGAAAATTTACGAAATTTATAATTCTTCTGTTCTTGGCAACATGTTATAAGCAAAAAAGTTACTTGTGTACTCAAATTCGTAATTTCCGTATGGTTAATTCAAACAGTCTAATTTTGCGTCATTTTAGGTTATCATTATGAAGTCGGGGATTTGAGCGGTACTTCCTGTTATACAGATAGCGATAATACGTATTTGAAATTCAATGCAAGAGGAACGTAGTCAATTGAGAATTTTGATAATAATTACCCCTTTTGTTAATTCCATCTTCTATATTTTCGTGAAGGTACTTTTCGGAAATTTTTTTGTGAGCAAATGAGAATTGATGAAATACTTCAGCCGTTATTACAAACAAAAAATGAATTGAATGAATTTTTCTCATGCAATTATGTCATAAAAAAGGCTTCAAGAGTATACGCAAAAGAAGCTTTTGTTGCACATTCATCTTCAATGGGAACCGCGCGCGTTATTTATTATTTAGTTATGTAAGTGATTATCGGTTCTATTGATTTTCTAGAATTATTACATCATACCCCTTAGATTAAATCGGCCCAATTATAATGGGTGGCATCTTTCTAGATTTGTTCGTCAACACAAGAAAAACAAAGATTTTTGCGCTCTGGAATCAAATTCTTAGACTTGTCAAAAATTCTAGGCTCATGCATGAACTCTGTGAAACAAGAAAAATTAAAGAACGAATTTCATTGGAGATCGATCGGCATGCAAGAAATTCAATTACCAATAAGGAAAGAAACTTCTTGGCATTATAGTGTCAATTGGCCTGGAACAGGTAAATATTCGGGGATCATTACCGGCATTGACTCTAAGCTATAATAGTTATCTGCTACCGTTACGCAAATAAGGAAATAAAAAAAAAATAAAAAACTAGCACAGCATTCACATTCACTATGACAAAGATCTGGAATCGGAAATGATTGTATATCAACTTTGTCTAAAGAGTGCACATGTATATAAAAATAACTGTCAACATAAATAGTAAAACTCACAATTCTGACGTAGTCGCGGACTGTGATACATGCATATTTTTGAATGCGGGATAGTAATATACATGTATTTACGAAGTAATTACTATGCCAATAATGACAAAATTAATAAGCATTTTTTTTTGATGCTGTGTCACCAAAAAACTGAACAATGAGTCTTCTTTCAAATTAGCCTAAATCCTGAATTGGGCGCATGCCCAGGCTGATCTTTTTCAAAGAATCATCTGGACACAATCAACTTACATTTGCATATTTGAATTTAATATTAGTATAATTTAGTACACATCTCTTTTTTTTGACAATTATTGGCGCTCGAAAATAGTGTGTGTAATTCAATCAATCCAATAACGTAAATGCGAAAAAAATCATGCTATCAGTGGTAACAACCTGGACCTTGGCGAGATCGTAGTCAAGATTTTTTACTTTATAGTAAGATTATAATGAATTCCTTTTTCGGCATTGTCCCCATTTAATCTAACAAAAGCGTGCGTTTTGCGCAATCGCCGCGTTATTTTAAGAATAAAAATACATGTACTATAAAATTAATATATATATATATATATATATATATATATATATATTTATATTTATAAATATACGTTTATATATATATATTTTTTTATCTAATTAATTAGCCAATAATTTCTTATTTTTGAAAAATGGTTCGATCAGATTCTAGGCGCATAAAATGTTTAAATATCGATCAATTCGAAAAAGATATAAAATGAAGGCGACAGAAACTTTTTTGACCTCGCGAGTTAACTATGAAACAAGTATCAATATTCACAATATTCGCCCGTCGTCTAATCAACTTGATGAGACGACGGGCGAAGCATAATAACCAAAAAACGCAAGCTTTTTACTATTATTATCATCTTAGTTTTATTGATAGGTAGAATTGCATTTCGTAATCTTTTTTATGAATTTTTATCTTTGATCTAATATTCCAAATATTTTATTTTCCTTAGACTGTTAATTTAAAAATAATCAGACGTGTACAGTTTTCTAGTGACCTTGCACGCTTTGTAAATGTATGCTACCTAATATTTTTTGAATTGTGTTTTATTAACCTCTACTTTCATGCTAATCGACAAAGTTTCATCTTTTCAATTAAACAGATAATATAATTAATTTTCGAAATGAATCTATCGAGCTAAACCGCAGTAACCGATCGATCGAAAATCAGCCGGGTCTTCTATTCGCAACACTTTTTGCTTTCGAACCCGATGACGATAACCCATATCTTATTTATTAAAGACGTTTTACGTGAAAATTTTTTATATTTCGCAGTCGGCTATCTAACGAAAACAATCGGATAAATTTAAAGACAAACTATTTTCTAAGCTATTTTCTCTATTTTTTTTTGACCTCGCAAATTATGCCCAACTATATTATATAATAATAATAAATCATCTAAGGAATATATGTAACAACAGTAAATCTAAGTTTTATGAAACTACAGTAAAAATGAAAATTGCGTAGCTATTTTTCAAAAAGAAATTATTTTTATACTTGTTTTTCCTTGCAATTGACTAAAGACTGTATATAACCAAAACAAAAACCCATTTTGGAATCATCGAGGAGTGATATTTTAGTTTTTTAGGACTTACGAATTTGAAAATGAAGGATTTTACCTTAAACCGTTTTTCAGATCTGTGATACAAATAAATGTTAAAATCTAACTTAGAAGCTCCAATCAAAAATGTTGGCAATTTTATCGCATAATCAGAACCAGGCAAAGATTCAAGCAGAGTTGCTTATTTTCGATACTTGCTATTTTCTTTTCAAAATGAAGAGATTTCTTATTTCGGGATTTTTTTTATTTTTGGTCATGTACCTTTTGTTTGATTGATCGCTTCTTTTAGTCATAGCCAATCATTAATGTGATGATCTTTCATAAATCACTGATCATAAAATTTTTTTATTTGAAATAACAAATAACATTCGATTGTGATCTAACGAATAATTTAATGTTTATCATAAATATATTAATCGTTTAACTATACACAGTGACTCTCGATATAACGAATGTGTTCGGGCGATTAGAAAAAACTTTCAAAAATCCGCTATATCGAGCGAGATTTATTATGGCTGGTTGGAACCTCTACCCGTTATATCAAGGCTTTAATTAGTTTCCGCTATATCGAGAGTCACTGTGTAATTGAAACGCGTTCTTTGACAAATAAAAGTTCCATTTTGGCATTATCAAGTTTAGAAAAAAAGGTTTACATTGTACTCCTAGAGATGCGCAGGATTTACAATAGCACATATACATATAGTAGTGGAGTACATATAATAGTTGTGTCCATTTCTTTTCACCAATAATTCTAGATGCTTCGAAAATATCAGTTCATAAAGTTTCAGAACATGATCTGATTTACTCAAACTCTTTTTATTTGTGAATGATTTTTATAATACAATATTTGTGACTTAGTTAATCTAGTGTCCACTAATAAAATTTATATATAGGATTACCCGTATATGATAAATAACGAATATGATGGCTCCACTGAATATGAAAAAGCTTAGTTGTTTGCCCTTTGACTGCAAATTTCATTGGTGTCCGATTTTTTTTACACAATATCCATGCACAAAAAACCGAATTCGCTTCTATTATCGAAAGTTTACGTTTTTTTGATTGTTTGCCGGCTGCAGATGCAATTGAAAGAGATAAAGATACAGTATTTCACAGATAGTTGCTATTTTAAGCTTACTTAATGGGCCTCGATCCTCAGGGTAAGGAAATTTATCGTAACGATTCCAATTCACCCAAGCATTCTCACCCCCTTTGTTTTAAATATACAAAACTTTTCATCGTAGATGCAATATAAATGTTCGATCTCTTTGAGCTAAATGAAAGGTAACGAATCGTTTTCTGCTTCAATTCACTGCAATGCTTGAAGACAGACGTGTAACTGAATACCAAGATACAACAGCCTCTTGTGCTTCGCTTGTGGACAACAACCAACACGTTCCCATTTAGTTTTGGTCAGAGCGCTTCTATTGATTATTCATCATTAGATAATTCATATATCTTTAACTGAGAATGTATTTAAGTGTACGCCATTAGTCTCTAGCTGTGTTTTTGGAACAAGGCAAAATAAATGCAGCGTGAAGAAACGTTACACCTTGGTTTCTTTACTACTATTAAATTAAATGAAATTACAAATTAAAAGCCCAATTATCTTTTAATTAATTATACTTGCTTCAATCAGGTTAAAACATATTCAATGATATTACTGTTTTCTCCCAACGAAGCCTATATTTAAACTTCGAACTTAATAGTTCGAATTACCTAACCTTCTCGACGAATCATAATGCTTCTGACTTAAAATAAATAAATGTCTTATTGTTCTCGCTCTCTTGTTCATCTATACATGAATCGAGAACCATAAAGATTGAAAATGAATAAGTATTTATTATGCTTGTTTATTTACTATGTACAAATGCGTGAATACCTTTAAGTATGTTGCTGGTTCAGGCACCCGAGCGTAATTATCACGTCAACTCGAGTATTTTGTGTAACAATAGATGGGAATATTCTGGGTCTTATTATTATGAGAGCATTCTATAAACAAACAATATCATGAATCTCTAGAACCATTCGTACTAAAAATCATACTAACCTACCTGAAAAATTAAGTAGTAAATATCATGCACGTGGTCATACAAAAGATGTATCAAATATTTTCTTTGCAGGTTATTTGAAAATGACAATATATATATATGTATATATATATATATATCGTATATGACTGAAAATAGGTAATCCCCGAAAATAAGAAACCTTTGGTTTTAAAAGGAAATTACGATAAAATTTTAAGTCCTGTAAATAAGAAACTTTCGACTTTTTGCATCATGCATTTATTACATTCTATAATTACATACCTCGGAAGCTACATATTAGAAATGGATATTTTATGGATTTCATCGATTCCTATGCTAGTCTGCAATATTGCATAATAAATCGTGATATCAAATCAAAAAGTCTCAAAAGTAAGAAACTTCCTGAATTTTTATTTTCGAAATGCCGATTTTCGTGGTTCTTATTTTCAGCGATATACGGTATCTATATTTTTTTAGCATGAAATTATGAACTTCCGCTATACTTAGTATAATTCTTGTTTTTTAACTTTAATCAAGCCGCCATAGAAAAACCAAATAATCAGAAAATGGTCTAAATAATCTTCACCATCTTAAATTCACATACCTTACCTTGCCTGTAAATCCTCAGTCATGAATATCAATTTATCGAGAATATTCGGTGCAATAATTTCAGTATTAGAAATTCAAACAAAGATTAATGTATCAAGATGACTAGGATGCGCCCTCCATTACGCTGATTTTATTCTCTAAACTTGGTCAGCTTTGATAAATCAATATTGATATTACCCCTATTTTTTGGGCGCCATTTGTGTATGTTGCAATTAAGGACAGGATTTATGTGAATATAAAATTAGCTAGTGTTAGAGTAAGGGTTAAGATTGGTGCTGGGAATAAGGATTAATGTTTGCCGAAAATTCTATTCCACCCGAATCTATCGATATATTATTTACACATGTATAAAATACTTACAGAAAAGGAAATTCGCATGATCATCTATTTGAGCTGTTAAAGCAAAAATCCCCCCAATTAAGTTTTGCTGTTTGAATCATTAACAGGAGCACCTACTCCGATTCATCGGGAATCCTTAATTAAAAACCGATGGCATTGTCAAAGAATAATGCAAATGCTACAAAAATTGATAGTTAGACTCATGTTCTAATTATACACTTTCTTATTATCAAAATATTATGTAAAATTTAAGGGTACCAATAATAATAAAAAAAAGCAAAAGTCGAAGTTTTACAAACATCAGTTTGCTTTTTATTGAGGCAAGTTTACTATAGATCTTAATGTGATTTATCCAGACTGGAGGGTATCGAATTCGAATTTATGCAGGCTTTCTGGTTTGAGTGTGTACAACTACGTACGTGTAAATGTATGAACATTAATAGGAAATCAGTTATCACAATTAAAGAGCTAAAAATAAAGAATGCGCATTTAGTACCAATGTACAGTTTTTCTTTGAGGATGTCATATTTATTTATATTTATCTTTCGGAGTTTATATTAATTTTTGCTTCATGTTTTTTCTTTGTCATATTAATCATGAATAAAGGCTGAACTAATGTTTTTTTAATAATTGCTTCTCACAAGAGAATGATTGCATTCCCCCCAAACTTATTCTATATTAATCATTCTGAGAAGTTTATTTTTGAAATATTTACATGATAAAGAAGAATGGTATAGCCACAAAAAAATTTTTACAATACGAATTTTGCCAGTCATTTTTCTCGGCTTCTTTTTCACATTTAGAATTACAAATTGTCAAGATTTATTTTATACAAATAAATAAATCCTACCAAATTATCTTAGATAAATAGGTATAATAATATATATTAAATAAATTGACATACAAGCTTGCTTGTTTGAAGCTTTTGTTGCTTAGCAAATTGTATGTCATTTGTGAGCTCAACGTTAATATTTGAATTCTAATCTTTACTCAGCAGGTCAAATCTTACGTTTCACAGTATCACATAATTGGTAAATCTGGAAGCGGAATTTTGAGAACGTGTCGTGTTATTGACAATCGGAAAATACGTATACTGATTTGATTCGGGGTTCTTTAATAATTGGACTTGACCGAATGCTGGTAGAGCAGGTTGAATCAAGACGATATTTGGTTAAATAAAATATAAACTCGTTATGCTTTGTTATCGTTGCAACTTAACCCAAATTCTTCACGCGATATCTCGTCAAATTTCTCTTGCATTCATGGTATTTTCCGTACACAAACTAGTTTAAATTGGTAAGAAAAAAGAAATTTTTGAGATTTGAGATCAAAGGAATCTATCATTTTTCACGATCAAAACTTCATTTCAACACCTTTGTACGTTATTAAATCAATCGTGTTAAACTTTACGATGACGTCAAAAGTTGAAGTTTCACCGAATACGTAATTTCCTTTGATGTGAAATGATATCATTTTAATCATGAACCATCATGTGTTACTTTGTTTATTTACGATTAAGGATAAGTTTATAAGGAAAGGGTAACCCACAGACTAAAAATTAACTAGCATATACAGCACCCGCTTAGGGAACCACAGACACAATATGCATTTCGGGAGAATCCAAATAAATGATCAGAGGTCTTATATGCTTGAGACTGAGACAAAGTATGTATTTAAGGTTAGGATGTATATAATGCGCATGTTCATAGAGGGTGCACTTTAGGCGATGTAACCGTACACCGGTGATGATGATGCTTTAGAATTCGGAATTTTAATATTTAATATTGTCTTACTTATAAAAAAAAGAAGATTGAAAAGAATATGTTTCTAATACTTTTGGATCTCACATTTGTTGAACCAGAGCAGATGGTCGAACTGTAAGACATGACAAAAGCACCCGGCAAGGAATATTTGTCGGTGATAAGGATTATGATGTAATTTTAATTTTTCTCTTTTAAAATGTTGATATTCGTTTGTTTGGATATTTCCTAATTTCGTCAACTTTCCGTCGATTCAGCTCAAAAACATAAATATATCATATAAAATTTAACAAGAATTTATTCTTGTTAGATTTCATTATGTATGTATGTATGTATGTATATATATATTATTGAAATTCCGTGTTGAATCATTATCGTTGTCTTTGTAGTTCGTATGTGGTCAATTAAAGATCAATGTAATGAGAGAGTAACACAATGCCTTAAATTTCCGTCTACTTCCGTGCTAATCTTGCACTTTTTAATGAGTTTAATGATGCAAATCAGCGTTTTGTGTTTGTTGTTTCGTAATCATTAATTTCGAACCAGAGATTTCAATGAAATATGTTAAAAAACAAAAAAAATCCAGTACATGTAATTGCAGACAAATCGAAATCCCAGAATTCTAAAAAGAAGTCCAAATTTAATATTTTCGGATTTTTCACCATTAAAACAAAAAAAGCACACGAATCTTCTTCATTATCTTCCACTTCCAATACCAACGACGCAAAATCAGAACCGCAAAATATTAGAAAAAATGCAATTTCTACCAAATTCAGTTTATGGAATCTTCAAGTAAATATACAGCCCACAGATATTTTCGGTTTAGGGATTATGGCGAACGCAATCACCTCATGTGTTATGGCGAATTTTAGATTTTTGGAAAAACAAACACAGCATGTACGTTTGATAATAATAATATGGGAATTAATATTCTTAAGTATTTGTGTTTTCTATATGGGACGTTTTTTGGATTTGTTTTTGTTGGTGTTTAGATTGTTCGATGATACTATTAGAGGCTTGTTTTGGAGTATCTATTCAATTGGGCCTTTGCTATTTAAATGGATTTTTGGATAATAGATAAATCTTTAAAAGTTTTCAAATAAAAATATTTTAAATATCAAGGGTTCTTTTTCAAGCTAATCTGCTCGCTGCAACTTGTATAATTCTTTGAAATGTTTGGGAGATTGATTATGAACCCGTTTGAAATACTGTGTTCGAGAACATTCTTTGACATTAGAATTAACAAACATTCTAAAATGGAGCTCATTTGCTCATAATTAATCATTTTCCCAAAAGGGAAAATTTAGACCACAAACTACGACTCAAGAACGATTCATTTAAAACAATCACTTTACTTGCAAACTCTTAGATATTTTTACTAATTAAAATCATACACAATACTTAGGTACGCTGCTTATTGATAATTTATTTGACATGTCTTTAATTTTGGTCTACAAAAGACTCGAATATATAAAAAAAAACTGGGAAATGTAATTATTTTGTAATATTCCTGTATCAGCATTTTTATAGAACTTGTAATTCTAAACTCAAATACTTATTTTCCTGGATTGCTTGTAAAATAACACCATTCAATATATTTCATTAGATTACCTTTGAGTATGATTTTGTCACTACATATTGTTATTTGAAATTTGCCAAATTTATAGAATGGAAATTCAATTTTCAGATTGTATTTTTTACTATTTACCATATGTTATTTCATATATTTGTCACTGACGATGTCTATTTATTTACCTTAAAAGTTACAGATATCATACCATACTCACACGAATTTATTCTCTGAAATCTTGATCATAAAAATCGTTGTTTTCCTGCCCGAAAACAGCAGATATCATGCCATCCAAAAATTCAAAAATAAAACATCAACACGACTCAGCAATTTATATATTGGTATTAAAATATATATCTAAATATAAAAGAGAGTCTCCAATATTCCACAGAGAGTGAATTACTTCCCAATGCGATTGAAAGTTTTTCAGACAGTACACCTTCAACGAAGTAAAATAAAAGGAGGAGAATATCTTTTTACAAATTTAATAAAAAGTAACTCAAGAATTTTGAATTCTCACACAATTTGAAACTAATAAATTAGACAAAAAAGAAAGTTTTTCTTGAAAATTTGAAAGCGCAATTTTTTTTGGAAATTAGATTCCAAAAGTAGAAACTTGAGATTCAGAGCATGTTGATCTACAAGGCTATTCAAACTATAACTAATTTGTTTATTTACTCCTTTGATTGTTTGCCTTGCCTTTGTTAATGAGAAAGAATAATGTAAACAAATCTGTCTGAGAAATATCAAAGTAATATAAATCGGCAGGTTACAGATGCAGAAGAAATTAGTGATTTAGAGATAAGAATGCATTAGAGTTGATTCGTTAAAAATACGCGGGCCCTACATAAACGATTCAAATATATTACATGTATGATAAAAGATAACAATGATAACGATAAAGTAACGATGATAATAATAAAAAAACGATACATGTATAATTATCTTTTTTGTTGATCTTTAAACTCGAACCTGTGGGTTAGTATTTTACGATACTTTCGCGACATAAACAATTACGTAGTAACATAGTTCTTTTTAGTGTACTCTCGCAATATAAATAAGCATCTATTGGAATTTGTATGTACATGTACATGTGTATTGAAAATAATGACGCATTTAATTATGCAATAATAATAATAATAATAAAGAATACTAACACCATTAGGTGGAACACAAAGAAAATACATGTAATATATGCATAATTTATATGATCATGTTAAAACGATACTATTCCTTAAATACATGTATCGTGTTCCACATTTAATGCCAAATTACATGTGTACGTAATTCAAAAATTATACGCGTTATCTTTCCAAAAATAACACCTGCAACTTGGAACGACAAGTCGTAAATC